TGGAAAGGGATGGTTATTGTGTTTGTTTACTGGCAAATGGTTTGCATGATGGTCTGACGCACAAATAAGTCCACACAGAAGTCGAGGATGTTCAAGCATAGGGCCGGTGGGGTAGCCTAGTGGTTAAAGCGTTGTCTTGTCACGCCGAAGACCCGGGTTCGAATCCCCACATGGGTACAATGTGTGAAGCCCATTTCTGGTGTACCCCGCCGTGATGTAGCTGGAATATTGCTAAAAGCGGAGTAAAACCAAAGTCAGTCAGTCAGTCAGTTCAAGCATAGATGGAAAATGTGTGTTAGCTAAATGTATGGATAGCTCGCTAAATGGGAAAATAGGTGGTCATCTGTCTAAAATCTGAACTAGATGGTTTGCAAACTAATAGGAAAACTGGATGGTTTAATTGCTGAAAGAGAAAACTGATGGTCAGCTGGCTAAATGGGAAAGAAATGATGACTAAAAGGGAAAATGGATGGTGTGTGCCTTTAATGATGCAAGCCGAAGATGCTGAGCTAATCAGCCAGATGTTCATAAGGAAGAGGTGATGTGCTGATGTATATATGAACAGATCTATGTAAGGGTCATTTGGAAACTGGAAGTAGTGTTCGCAGGAGTTCTGACTATCAGGAATAACTATCATACTCTTGACAAAAAGTGATTTTAAGAAGTGTGAAGTCTGCAGACTTTAAGTTGAGCTCCTATAAGTCATACTTTGAGACAAGCGTAGGGGGAAAATACTTTGGAACAATATTGTCTTAAAGAAATTATCGCTGTGCAGGAAAATATTTTCTTAGAGAACTTTGAACATCTGGCTGTTGGATGAAACAATATGGAGACATTTGTAGTGGGAGATGTGTAGTGTTTAGATCTGAAGAGGCAGATGGGAGACTCCAAGAGATGCCACCTTGTTTTGGAGGACTCTGTTCTGTTTACAGAGGAAGGGGGTTTCTTTGATTGTAACCATGGAAACAAGCGATAACACATGCCTCCCCTCTACAGGCAAGTGAGTTACTTCTTGGCTAACACTTCCTTATTACAGAACTGAGCCTATATCAATTAATTCTCCCGCTCGTTATCAGGGTATAAGTCCCTTGGGGTAAGAGAAATGGAGTTATTTTGATGTAACAGGAAATCTGGGTTTGATGGTTTGTTTTCTTTCAATTGTTGGCAATAACACTGGCTTTTCACTGGAACAGGTAATTTATTGTTCTGGAGTCAGTTGGGAGTTGAAGAATTTTAGCAACTGATTAGGTTGTTAGATGTTTATTTTGTTTCAATTTAAGAGCTGTGATGACCTTTCAACGCAACTAGTAACCCAGCCCAGCCTTAATATAATCAGCTCATTGTAGATGAATGTACTAAGAGCTTATTGTACTCGGAGTGTTCCCTCCTGCTTTTGGCTGGAAGGAAGGTTGAACATTATTTATGTTTTATACAAGTATTCATATTACAAACCCGTTTTGTTTCAATTTGATATTTGCTTTTCAAAGTTGATTTGTAATACAGTTTGTGATAATGTTTGAAAGCAGACTTTCTTTTTATCGGTTCCATACTTGAAACTTTTTTCCAGTAAATCAAAACTCTACACTTTACAAGTTTCACCATTTTGGCCATCATGAATAAATGATAAGCTGAAAATGTATCTACAGTGGAGGCATTACTGAGATTGCCACCAGAGACTCTCAGGCCAATATCTAAGTCACTTAAGTGCCTGTAGACACCATTTTTCAAACGTCCCCCACAAAGAGGACACTATTTTTCAGCTTTGCAGGCAGGTTGGGTTCGGTGATTAATGTGACCGGAATATGAAAGGAAAGAAGACAAGGTATATATGCTTCTGAGGCAGACATGAGCAAGGTCTTGTCTACTGACTGGAGAGTTGTCCTTGTTGATGAAATTTATGGCATAGGAGCTAACTGAGAATGTCATTGTTGGATGTTGGATGTTGATGCAGGGAGGAGTCATTTGTTCTTTGTGGTTTCACAGGATATGTGACCGCCTCCGTGGTGTAGTGGATAGAGCGACCGCCCGGAGAACGAAAGGTCGCGGGTTCGATCCCCCCATATGACGTTAAAATATGGCTCTTGTTAGTCCCTGCCTGGCGCTCGGCATTAATGGGTACAACAAGGACTGGTCGGCTCGGAGTCAGTATAATGTGTCTGAGTGAGGTATTCATGTTTCACTGCGGCATAGTATCTCAGTGGGCTAGCACTATAAAACCAGCTTCAGTCTGGGCTAGTACAAGCAGCCGCACATACACATACACACGCATGCACATCGTCATATGAGCGAAATATTCTCAAGCACGACATTAAACCCAATTTCACCTCACCTCACCTTCACAGGATATGTGTACTTGTAGGGGGTATTTGTTAGTAAGATAAACTTTTGCTGATACGGTAATGTATCATTTGTTTCTATTAGGTTTTCAGCTATAGTGAGTGAGTATGTTTTTATAAATAAATAAATAATAATACATTTGTAAAGCGCCTAATATCCACGTTACAGATGCTCAGTGGCTCTATGCTGCTGTGAGCAATATTCCAGCAAAATCATGCTGGGGGACACACATAGGGCTTCACACATTGTACCCATGTCGGGAATCGAACCTGGGTCTTCGGCATGATCAGCGAACGTTTTAACCATTTGGCTACCCCACCATGCCATATGTATTAATGTATTAAGGGATGTAAATAGGAGACAAAACCCTTTCGTAATCATAAGATGAGATGAGGTGAGGTGAAATTGGGTTAACGTCGTGCTTGAGAATATTTTGCTCATATGACGACGTGCATGCTTGTGTATGTGGATGTGCGGCTGCTTGTACTAGCCCAGACTTAACCTGGTTTTATAGTGCTAGCCCACTGAGATACCATGCCGCAGTGAAGCATGAATACCCCACTCAGACACATTATACTGACTCCGAGCCGACCAGTCCTTGTTGTACCCATTAATGCCGAGCGCCAGGCCGGGACCAACAAGTACCACATTTTAACGTTTTTTGGTATGACACGGCTGGGGATCGAACCCGCGACCTTCCGCTCTCCGAGCGGACGCTCTAACCACTACACCACGGAGGCGGTCTCGTAATCATAAGAAACATTGTATACTCTAACCTATCATGAGCGTGTGTTTTTGAATCACTATCAAATAGTGATGATAATGAGTGCAACTACCGGTGATATTCATCACAAACACATGCAAAGGCAAGTCAATTGAAAAATATATAGTACAAGCTAACCAATCAGCAACAAGGCAACAAATGAGGATTGGCTGATGACCAATTACAAAAATATGAAAGAAAAGTATGAACAGCTATATTAAATATTTTAATTCTAAAATTGCCTTTAGTATTATTTGTTTTATTTCACTTGGCCTAGCCTCATAATTACAAGCAGAGATACTTTACTTGATTTATATGTCTGACTTTAATTTAGGCATGAAAAATTGAAAGTGTTTTTCCCGATATTGATAAGAGTAAGAGCTTGACTGTGGGTGGCATGACAAACATCAATTAAATTTTGTAGTCAGACATTTAAAATTTTCAACTTATAAACATTATGACTGGCAAGCAAGTGATCAAATCAAGATTAATCTTACATGCATTTCTTGTGGGCGTGCTGAACATGAACTAACTTCAAATGTGTTGTGGTTAAAAATACCTGAACATGTTGATTAGACATCAGGGATGCAGCCAAGCGGACATTATCATATGGTGTGGTGTTACCTTGCTTTAGGTGCAAAACATGCATGATGTTATGTCTAATAACATGATTTATTGAATGAATTAGATTCGCTAGATACAGTTTGCTGAAAAAGTAGTTCCTCCAGACGAGATGATATAATTATTTTTAACACATGGTGACAAGAACCCATGAAGCGTACCTCGAGTATCTCGTCACAGTCAGAGTGCAAATTATGTCTTCTGTTTTCAGCTTGGAATTCTAAACGTTTAATGTTTATGAATACTTTTGAACTTTTGTCCTTTGAAGGGGTTATAATTTGTTGATGTCTGTGTCGGATAGAGTTGACATGCTCATTTGTAATGGGTTTTTGTACTTGTTTTTGAGTTGGTCTGAGTTTTGTATTTTTTTGATTGATGCAACACAAATTGATGAGAAGCATTTCTGCACTCCATTACTGCACACTATTCATATCATGGTAAAAACATGATGCACTCAGCGGTACCAGCAGCAGCAGCATGCACTTCCTCTCTTACATCACCATCACAGACAGACCGGGGCGGTTGGGTAGCCTAGTGGTTAAAGCATTCGCTCGTCACGCCGAAGACCCGGGTTCGAATCCCCACATGGGTACATTGTGTGAAGCTCATTTCTGGTGTCCTCCGCTGTGATATTGCTGGAGTAATGCTAAAAAATCGGCGTAAAACCAAACTCACTCACTCACAACAGACCACCTTAAGACACCACCACCATCACACATCTTCCGTCCACTATACCAACCACAACATCGGAGATCCTTTTACCATTGCCACGCACTCCATTACAGACTGTCTCAGACTACACTAGAGACAATCTCATAACAGGACCATCCAATACCACCACACATATCATTCTACCTCATCACAACTTCCACCAAACACCTCATTGTAAACACCACCTCACCTCCACCGGTTTACCCTCAGCTCACAAATGGTTCACTGGATCTCAACATCAGTAGTGTGTAACAATGCAGTAAATTGACATTTCTATAGCCACTTAGCTATAGCGTGTATCAGACTTCGGGTCATCTCATATCCTCCCACTCAACCTCAACATACACACACGTGCGCACGCACACACACACACACACACATACACCATCGGGTACCACCCAGTAGACCACCTCCATGACATATCATCATACATCTCTTCAAAAGCCCTATACATACCATCTTGTCACCACACCATCACATCACAAATGTCCAAGACACATCACAACCTCACACCCTCCTGACACCACCACCACCACCACCATGTGCCCTCCTACTATCATCGCTACCACTACCACATGTAGACCATCTTGTACCACACCACCTCCTCACACCACCACATGTAGACCATCTTGTACCACACCACCTTCTCACACCACCACATGTAGACCATCTTGTACCACACCACCTCCTCACACCACCACATGTAGACCATCTTGTACCACACCACCTCCTCACACCACCACATGTAGACCATCTTGTCCCACACCACCTCCTCACACCACCACATGTAGACCATCTTGTACCACACCACCTCCTCACACCACCACATGTAGACCATCTTGTACCACACCACCTCCTCACACCACCACATGTAGACCATCTTGTACCACACACCACCTCCTCACACCACCACATGTAGACCATCTTGTACCACACCACCTCCTCACACCACCACATGTAGACCATCTTGTACCACACCACCTCCTCACACCACCACATGTAGACCATCTTGTACCACACCACCTCCTCACACCACCACATGTAGACCATCTTGTACCACACCACCTCCTCACACCACCACATGTAGACCATCTTGTACCACACCACCTCCTCACACCACCACATGTAGACCATCTTGTCCCACACCACCTCCTCACACCACCACATGTAGACCATCTTGTACCACACCACCTCCTCACACACACCACATGTAGACCATCTTGTACCACACCACCTCCTCACACCACCACATGTAGACCATCTTGTCCCACACCACCTCCTCACACCACCACATGTAGACCATCTTGTACCACACCACCTCCTCACACCACCACATGTAGACCATCTTGTACCACACCACCTCCTCACACCACCACATGTAGACCATCTTGTACCCACCACCCACCTCCTCACACCACCACATGTAGACCATCTTGTACCACACCACCTCCTCACACCACCACATGTAGACCATCTTGTACCACACCACCACCTCCTCACACCACCACATGTAGACCATCTTGTCCCACACCTCCTCCTCACACCACCACATGTAGACCATCTTGTCCCACACCACCTCCTCACACACCACCACATGTAGACCATCTTGTCCCACACCACCTCCTCCCTCACACCACCACATGTAGACCATCTTGTACCACACCACCTCCTCACCACCCACCACATGTAGACCATCTTGTACCACACCACCTCCTCACCTCCTCCATCTTGTACCACCACCACATGTAGTAGACCATCTTGTACCACACCTCCTCCTCACACCACCACATGTAGACCATCTTGTCCCACACCACCTCCTCACACCACCACATGTAGACCATCTTGTCCCACACCACCTCTTCACACCACCACATGTAGATCATCTTGTACCACACCACCTCCTCACACCACCACATGTAGACCATCTTGTACCACACCACCTCCTCACACCACCCTTCTGTATGTTGTGTTCTCTGTGTCATCACCTTTGCAGCACCCCAGCCAGGGTAGTAGCTCTGACAGCCAGTTATGGTCTTTGGACTTCCCAGTATTTACATGTTAGAATGTCATATGTTATGTGACATTTCATAGAATTCCCTCTCCAAACATGCATCTCCCATCTGCTTGGCACTATCAAATATCACACGTTTATGAAGCACTCAGGAAGATTGTCATCCTCTGTTACTCTGATGATCAAAATACTATTTATTGGCAGGCTGCTGTGTTTGTTCACACATTTCTGTTTTGACATTTATATGTATGCATAATACATGCTGTACAGAAAGTTTTCCATGACTTCTATGATATAGGACCGCCTCCGTGGTGTAGTGGTTAGAGCGTCCGCCCGGAGAGCGGAAGGTTGCGGGTTCGATCCCTGACCGCATCATACCAAAAGACGTTAAAATATGGTACTTGTTGGTCCCTGCCTGGCACTCGGCATTAATGGGTACAACAAGGACTGGTCGGCTCGGAGTCAGTATAATGTGTCTGAGTGGGGTATTCATGCTTCACTGCGGCATGGTATCTCAGTGGGCTGCACGTCGTCATATGAGTGAAATATTCTCAAGCACGACGTTAAACCCAATTTCACCTCACTTTCTATGATATATTGGAATACTCCACATACAATGTTGGTATGCCAACCGTGGTAATGATTCTCAATCGATACAAACTATTTATGCTGTAGATGGATCTGGAAATGATGAAATATTGTTGCTAAAGTAACAAAATGTCTTGCAGTCAAAGGAGTGGAATATGTTATCATTGGGCTGCAAAGTCGAAGTCAATATCCTCCTGGTATTTTTTTCACATTATGTCTGAGGGAAGAAACTCAAAAGATTTATGTTTCCAGAACAGAAAACAGTTTTTCTTAGGAGCTTTGCTGTGTAAATCATGTCTGGGATAGCTCTCTCTGTGTGAACATCACAAAACTAACTGTGTTTCTTAGGAGAGCCACACCAAGAGAAATATACATGCATGTATCCTGCCCTGAGTGACAGCTGTCACCCATATGTTAGACAGTGCTATGATACGTGACATGTGATTGGCTTGTTTCGGTTCATTTCCTCCTTCCTTCCTGAAGGTGTTTTTGACAAATTGTAAATCATATTTAGAATGGGTTCAATATTGTCACCTCTATGTTGTTGTAATGCAGACATATGTGTGGTTATGTTTCAATATGGAGATGTGTGATGATGCAACAGAAATGGTGTCATTACTTTCATGTACTTTCAAGGCAATTTCCCAGCGCTAAAGACAGACCACACAATTTGCTTTTATAGTAAAAACTGATGGGTAGTAAGTTTGTTCTTTTAGGCACCACTCAGTATTATTCCAGCTATATGACGGTAGTGAGCCTGGACAAGACTATCCAGTGATTGATGTGATGAGCATCATGTTGCACATTCAAGATATGGTGACTTGCAGCTTGAAAGTCCCCTTATCCGACCCCCAGATCCAGTTGGTTCCCTGTTATTGTTGGTTGGTTGGTTGTTTAACACCGCACTCAGCAATATTCCAGCTTTAGGGCGGCGGTTTGTAAATATTTGAGTTTGAACCAGACGATCCAGTCAGACCCTGTTATGACAACCATTGGATGCTGGAGACCGATTCTAACATATATCTGCTCTAGGAATGGGCTTATACCTTTGAAATATGAGTTTCATTTGTCTAAGTATGTTTCTATTATTCATACATATGCTGTGAATGTCAATGATTACTTTGGATCTCCATCCTCCAAAAAACATCTCACTCTAAAGTAAGACTATATAATGGAACTTTCATCTTTTATTCTCTAAAACAAACTTATACAGAAGAACTAGATTGTAAATTTACATTTGTGCATTATTTGCTAGCTGTTCAGGACCTTAAATTAATTGGGAGAAAATGCCTATGAATGGATTCTGTGAATGACATTTGAAAATAGTTGGTTGTTGTCTTGTTTGATGTTTTAATTAAATGTAACTGAAAGAATCAGGTGAATGCTATTAAGGAATTAACCTTGTGTTCTGTTTTGTCATGGAATTGCATTGACTTTAGATGTGTACAGAATCAGGTTCTACTTTGCCTGAGATATAGATACAATGAAACCATTGTAATTTGTAACATCAGGGAAAGTTTAAAGACCTTGTGCACAAGTGTGAACAGCCTGTCAAAGGTCTCACTTGTGAACATTTCAGGAATGGCAAATGCACCTTTTCTACTTGACGTAAGTCAAAACAGATTTGTGTTTATATTACACCAACCATCAGACAGGGTTTTTGCTCACTGAACCCTGAAAACAATATCTAAGTGCAAGCTCTATTGAATGGCAGACATGTTGGAAATGTCAAGTTGTAATTATCAATGGCAAGAGGAGGCAGTGCCATTTCCTTTGTGGAGGATGAAAATGTCACTGTTTGGTTTCCACTTCAGAGTGTTGTTTTATGCATGTACAGGGCTGATGGGTCTTAGTTAATGTGCCAGAACATGAGTAATCTGATCATTTGCCCTGGCTATTTTTGTATAAGTTCAGTGTACTGTTACTTCAACATCTGTTAGCATGGTCTTTCATTTTTTTGCTACATTATGCATGGTCAGAGCGTGATCCTCAGTCAAAGGAAACTATTATGAATTATAGTCAATGTGAGAATAAGGAAGAAATATTTTGATGCAAATGTCTTGGATACAGTTACAATTTAGTGTTTCATTTGATACATTCATTGGACATATCAGGGTGCCGTTGTACAAAAGTACCTTAGCGCTATGAGTACCTTAAGTCTATGTTAAGGTACGGGAGTTACGGTCACCTTAGCGCTAAGATCGCTTTGTACAATGGCACCCATGTCTATAAAACTTTGACTTGATAATCCAATGTGTGGTGTATCCATTAGTTGCCAACAGAATATTGGTCAGAATCAAATTTAACATGGCTGCCACTTCAGCCATATTGAAAATATCATTTTACATGATATTACTAGCCACTTTATGCTTTTTTTATGAAACATGTTACATAACCTTGTGAATTGTGATAAATTGGCACAACTTCATCATTCACCCACGAATCACTGAAGCATGAGAATCATGCTGAACATTAAATCTTTGTCGTACAGAAACGGTTTCTTTCCTTGTGTGTCATATGTTACGTAAACTCTTCTGATCCATTATAATATCCCTGACAAATATCAAGTGAGCAGCAGTGCCTCATGTCTCTTAGTGTATGGAGGACGGTGGGATGGCCTAGAGGTTAAAACGTTGGCTCGTCACGCCGAAGACCCGGGTTCGAATCCCCACATGGGTAAATATGTGAAGCCCATTTCTGGTGTCCCCTGCCGTGATGTTGCTTAAAAATTGCTAAAAGCGGCGTAAAGCCAAAACTCAGTCAGTCAGTTAGTGTATGGTGCCTCCTTTAACAAGAGTGATGTTGTAGTCTTGTAGCAATCACCTTGTTGACCTTTGGCCTTTTTTACTGAAACATATGTCGAGGAAACATGAACTGAATAAGTGTGGGACTCAGCATTCAAGGTTGTGGTGGTAGGAATTATGCTGTGCTTTGCCGAAGCATTGAATCATTCTCCTCTGCTGTCAGTAAGATTAGTGTCAAACTGTAGTTAGTATATTCTGTTTAGTACTGATTCAGGGTAACTACTTGTTGATCTTACATTTCAATGAATCAGCATATTTCTTAATGTAAACCAAAAGGTATATTTATATTGATGTTGTCATTCTGCCAATACCTTGTTCAATTCATGCTCACCTACATGTAAATGCCTTCGTGTTGTAGTGGTTAGAGCATCCGCCTGGAGAGCGGAAGGTCGTGGGTTCGATCCCCGGCTGCGTCATACCAAAAGACATTAAAATATGGTACTTGTTGGTCCCTGCCTGGCTCTCGGCATTAATGGGTACAACAAGGACTGGTCGGCTCGGAGTCAGTATAATGTGTCTGAGTGAGGTATTCATGCTTCACTGCGGCATGGTATCTCAGTGGGCTAGCACTATAAAACCAGGTTAAGTCTGGGCTAGTAGAAGCAGCCGCATATACACATACACACGCGTGCACGTCGTCATATGAGCGAAATATTTTCAAGCACGACGTTAAACCCAATTTCACCTAACCTCACCTCACCTACATGTTCAAATATAGGCTGTATAAAATGTGACAGTCATTTATTGTTAAACAAAGACACTATTTTTATCAC